TTGTGTTCGGATCGATACAGAAAGCTCTTCGGCCCTGATGATTAGTGAAGACCACTCCCTTCCACAGACAGACACTCGGGCTCGCTCCAGCTTCTTCTGATTCGGCTCTGATGAGCCCAGCGGGCCTTTTCTCAAGCCCATCATTTGTTGTTGGTGTCACAGAAAGTCTTAAAAACTTCGTAGAGGTCGCAAAGGTGCAGGACTTCAAGTACTTGGGGTCCACCGTCCAGGAAAATGGGGGAGTGTTTTAAAGAGGTGAAGAAGAAAGTCCAGGCAGGATGGAGAAAAGTTCAGAAGTGATTTGCAACAAAAGAGTGTCAGCAAAGATCAAAGTAAAAGTTTACAAGACAGTGGTGAGACCAGCTATGTTGTATGGTCTGGAGACAGAGACATGGACAAGAAGACAGGAGACAGAACTGGAAGTAGCATAAATGAAGATGTTGAGGTTCTCATTAGGAGTGACAATGGATAAGATTAGGAATGAGATCATCAGGAGATAAAGTTAGAGAGGCCAGACTGAGATGGTTTGGACATGTCCAGAGGAGGGACAGTGGTTTGGACATGTCCAGAGGAGGGACAGTGGGTATATTAATAGAAGGATGTTAGAAATGCGGCTGCCAGGATAAAAACAAAGAGGAGATACATGGATGCAGTTAGAGAGGACATGGAGGAGGTTGGAGTGAGGACAGAGTGAGGACAGAGGACAGAGTGAGGACAGAGGACAGAGTGAGGAGACCCCTGAAGAGGGAAAAGCCAATAGAAGATGAAAACATCTGAACTTTCTCAGAATCTGTGTTTGTAATTTTTTTTTAATAAACTAAGGATCAAGGTTCTTTATTGTCATTCCCATCACATGTGGTACACGAGGTGGAATGAATCTGTGTACTCAACGTCCCAGTTACACCCCAAAATACCAAAAATATAAAGTATAAAAGAAACAGTATGCAAGGATCTAAGATATAAACTAAACACTAATAAAGTAAAATAATATGGTGTATTATGCAGAAGCCTGTTTAGTGCTTTGCTGTAGAAATGTATGGATTTAGTATAAATAAGATTTATTTCAAGGATTCAAGGATTCAAAGTTCTTTATTTGTCATTCGCACCCCATGTAGTACATGTGGGGGAACAAAATTATGTACACAGGGTCCCAGTTATATCCAACAATAAAATGTAAAATAAAAACAGTAATAAGATCTAAAATATGAACTAAGAAAAACATCAACTAAAAATACACTAAGCTAGTGGCATAAACACAATACGCCGAACAGCAGCACGAACATGAGTCTGTGTGAGCAGATGAGCACGCATGAACACAGCAACATGAAACAGATCAGCAGCAACATGAAACACATCAGCAGCAACATGAAACACATCAG